TCTGACCCAGGGATTGAACCCATGTCTCTGATATCTCCTTCACTGGCAGGCAGGTTCTTTACCATTAGTGCCAGCTGGGAGGCCCGGTTATATGAAAAGATGAACTATACCAGCGTAAAAACTTAAGTTTACAAATGTAATTTTAAGGTATCAGAATGCAAAAACCTATACTCTGCCAAATCACACAGTCTCTGTAGAATTCCCAATTCTTTATTTGATTTGAAGGATTTGCTCAGGATTACTCAATTTGCCAACAATTACCTACAGGGTGTGGGACAGAAAATGAAGGCAGGCACTTTAGGAGAATAAATGGACTCGCCTTCATCTACTCAGTGAATTATTGATGCAAAAACATGGAAATATGTTTCTGATAAGAAGGCAATTCTGTCCATGTTCCTGTAAGTTACTCAGAAACAAGAAAATAAATCAATATCTGGAAAGAACAGCAATAAAGTTTTGGCACATGGCCTAAAAGATTAAAAAAAGTAAAATATTATCTGTAATGCTCAAAGGTAAAATAGCTATGCAGTGGTTAACATGGCAGGAAGCTACAGGACTCCCTATAATGTATTAATTAATCTTTAGATCCAACATAAAATCAGGTTACTACTTTATTATCATTAGGAATCACCTGCCACCTTTTTGCCCACCTATATTCTACCATCCATTTTGTAAAGAAATTCACTTTTATTTGGAAGAAACCTTGATAACCATATAAATGATCATTTCTAACCTGCTCCATCAAAATAGGTAATGATATTTCCTTCACCTCACGTGTGTGCTCAGATGCTCAGTCATGTCCGACTCTGGAACTCCATGGACTGCAGCCCACCAGGCTCCTCTGTCCATGAGGATTTCCCAGACAAGAATAATGGAGGGGGTTGCCTTATCCTTCTCTAGGAGATCTTTTCAACCCAGGGATCAAACCCACAACTCCTGTGTCTCCTGCATTTACAGATGTGTTCTTTACCACTTAGACACCTGGGAAGATCCTCATCTTAAAAACAAATAAATAGATGCTAGCAGACAAATTTGTTTATGAGAGGATGTGCTGCTATGGAAAAACAAGAATGCTAAGTAGAATTGTATACTACGTCTATTTGCAATTAATTGTTGACACAATCGCAGTTAATTGTCTTTTTTACCTGGTTGGAGCACTATTCCCATCATGACACCGTGACTGACTCAGTGAGAACACCAGAATCTGCAGTTCCCCACTGAGGCCACAGGATGGCACCATTCCACCACTACTGTCCCCCGCAGAGGTTAGACTTTGAGTACAACAAATGTGTTATTTAGTCTTACAATCATTTTTAATTTTATTGCTGACAGTCTGACAGGACTACTTAATATTGCTGGGTTGACCTTTCCATATTTTGTGCTAAATCTTTTTTTTTTTAAACTTCTCTTAATCTGCTGTGTCGGGAAGAAGATATAATTGACTCTACATTAGGACAGGCTATAGTGTGATACTACCAGCGACAGCACTGGTCAAAACAGATGGATAAAAGGCAGTGTTCCAGGCATCAGCTGGTGCCCTGCAGCACTCTACAGACCCCAGACTTCATGAGCACCAGCCACATGTGGGCCGTTCAGAGACAGTATTTTTTAAGATTTCATCACTCCCCAGAAGGGGCAGAACTGGCTTTCCACAGAACGTGCATGCATGCATGTTCAGCCTTGTTCAAGTCTTTGCAACTCCATGGATTGTAGCCTGCCAGCCTCCTCTGTCCGTGAGATTTTCCAGGAAAGAATGCTGGAGTGGGCCATCCTCCAGGGGATCCTCCCAAGCCAGGAATCAAACTCATATCTCCTGCGTCCCCTGCATTGGCAGGCAGGTTTTTTTTGTTTTTTTTTTTTTGTTTGTTTGTTTGTTTTTTAACCACTGAACCACCTGGGAATCCCAGCACAGAAAATGCTAACATATAAGATGTAAAGTTAATTTCCTTAGGTCCAGTCCTGTTCTCCTTGTAAAAGAAGATGGTCCCTCTGGGGAAAGATTTTTCTTATAATGTGGCTTTTGAAGATTAGGTAGGTTGTAAGAGAAAGGTAAGAAAACTTATTCTTCAACACACTTGAGAACAGTCATCTGTAGCCTTAAAGATGCACATAACTCAGGTGGGGCTGCAGGAATAACAGACAGCGCCATGGCCTGAGAGTGGTTCCAGAATCTGACAATGGTGACAGGTGCCACTGACCAGACACTTACTTCACACCAGACTCTGTGATAAATGCATCATGGGAGTTTCCCTGTTGAGAGCTCCCCACGGCTCTGAGGGCTGCACTGTCATTAGCCCTCATATCAACAGATGATGTGTCTGAAACCTGAGGCTTTATTTTTTGCATTATATATACACATGGGCTTACTAAATAGCCCAGTTGGGAAAGAATCCACCTGCAATGCAGGAGACCCCAGTTCGATCCCTGGGTCGGGAAGATCTCCTAGAGAAGGAACAGGCTACCCACTCCATTATTCTTGGGCTTCCCTGGTAGCTCAGCTGGTAAAGAATCTGCCTGCAATCAGGGAGACCTGGGTTCAGTCCCTGGGTTGGGAAGATACCCTGGAGAAGGGAAAGGCTACCCACTCCAATATTCTGGCCTGGAGAAGTCCATGGACTATGCTGTATAGTCCATGGGGTTGCAAAGATTTGGACATAACTGAGCGGCTTTCACTTCCACTTTATACACATATTTATTGAAATACCGTTGATTTATAATGTTGTTAGTTACTGCTGTACAGAAAAGGGATTCAGTTGTACATCTTTCTTTATATTCTTCTCCATTATAGTTTATCATACGACATTGAATATAGTTCCCTGTGCCATCTAGTAGGACCTTATTTATTCATTCTACATATAAAAGCTTCCATCTGCTAACCCCAACCTCCACTCAGGCCCTCCTCCAAGTACCCCCTGGCTTGGCAACCAACAGTCTGTTCTCTACGCTTCTGAAGGTTTTATGTGGTGGGTTATGACAGGCTGGCAAGTGGACCCCAAACACGATTACACCTCGGCTGTCTGACTCCAGTGGCCAAAGGTTCAGCGTAATGTTACACTGCCCCTCAACACCCTCTGCAGCAGGTAGCCTCTCTACATATTGCTCACCTCATCCAACTTGCCAAGAGTCTTCCCTGGTTTCTGAGTCCTACTCTCTGGGGGCTTCCCAGGTGGTGTTAGTAGTAAAGAACCCACCGACCAATGAGGTAGACACAAGAGAGGTGGGTTTGATCCCTGGGTCGGGAAGACCCCCTGGAGGAGGGCATAGCAACCCACTGCAGTATTCTTGCCTGGAGAATCCCATGGACAGAGGAGCCTGGTGGGCTACGATGGTCTATAGGGTCGCAAAGAGTCAGATACTACTGAAGTGACTGAGCAGGCACACACTCTGTGGGAGAAAATTCCCAAGCAGGTTCTGCTCTGTGTCCCTTGGCTCCTCAGGAGCCATGAAGAGCGGGCGACACCTGCTTCATGACCATGCGACCCATGTTGGGGATGCTGGGATTGGGGGCCTTCCATCATACTGCAGAATTCATACAAAACTTGGAAATCTTGGCTCCTTTCTTGGGGCCAGCCCAAGCAAGGCCCTGCCTAAGGATTTTTGACACAGAACATTTGTGCTTTTGGAAATTTCTCAGTGAACTCCCCTACTGGACAAATATGAGATGGAAAGTGAGGTAAGAGTAGGTTGACATTATTCACTTCCTATCTCACCTGCCCCCTCATTGTTCATTTCATGGGAAAAGAACACAAGAAGTTGAGGGAAAGTGATAAGCCAAGAATGGCCAGACCTGGGGGAATTAAGCCAGCGAGAGGTTGGTTCCCCAAAAACAAAAGTCCATGGTTCACATCCCATCATCTAAGGACCCTGAGGTCAGTGCAGGGTTGGTGCCAACAGCCCAGGAATGAAAGCCACAGCAGGCATGGAACAGAGGTCCTTTAGGCAGAAGCCATGTTCCTAAGTAACTGTTTCATCATCAAAGAGTAGAATCATCCAGGAGGCACCAGACGCCAGTCAGCAACGAGGAAAGAGAGCAAAGTGTAGAAGTCACGGGCTGCGAGGGCTGCACATGACCCTGAAAAATTTGTGACCAGGGCACGTGTCCACTTCCATTAAGAAACAGAAGGCTTAACTGGAGCCAAGGAATCGTGACAAGCAAGGGACATATGATGGGGTTGGTGGGGCACACATGTGCACCCAGAGACCCAGTCCAGGTGTGTGAGATGAAAATTGATGCAACAAGATTGACTTTAGTAAACAGTGGCTTCTTTTTATTGCCAGACTGAGGGAGGTTCAAAGTACATAATTCTATAAAAGGGCAACGATAGAGCAGTTAACAAAATAGAATGTAACAGGATCTGTATTAAGGTGGGCAGAGGCGGTCGAGTGGCCAGCTGCCGAGAAGAGCTGCGTGTGTGTCCCATCACTCAGGCATGGCCGGCTCTCTGCAGCCCCACAGACTGTAGCCCGCCAGGCTCCTCTGCCCATGGAATTGTCCAGGCAAGGATACCGGAGCGGATTGCCTCTTCCTCCCCCAGGAGAACTTCCTGACCCAGGGATCGAACGCAAGTCTCCTGTGTCCTCCACGCTGGCAGGCAGGTTCTTTGCCACTGGGCCACCAGGGAAGCCCCGAGAAGAGCTGGCCTGGCCTGGATGACTACAGGGACCAGCGCTGCTCTGAATCTCAAGACAAAACCGAGGTGGGCACCCCACACGAGGCCTCTGCACCCTGAAAGATGCACAGCTTTGTACTCCAGGAAATAAGGGCAGATGTAAACTCCCTGTTTTGAGAGAAGGCAATTCAACTGAATAATCTGTATCTTTGAAAAATATATTATTGAGTATAAATTGAGTATTAGAAAAGTTAAGAGCATACCACTTGGGTGAGTAAACAAGTGACCCTGTGAGTGGTAACACATTGTCAGTCCAGCTCAGCACAATACTATCCGCGGTCACCACCACCATCCACATAAAGCATATTTTCATAAGTTCTACATACGTACAATTTTCAGATGAGACAAAAGCCTCATGACGTCCGCCATGTCCGCCAGGATGAGCAAGCGGGTCACAGCGGACAGCAGGGCCCGAGCCGCCCGCACCATGGTGCCGCGCTTCACCGATGAGCAGGGGTCATCCGCAAACTCCGAAGAAGCGATGCGCATGGTCTCACCTGGAAGACAGACACGGAGACACATGTGGGTAGACAGGAAGCTCAGAGGCTGGCAGTCACAAAGATCTGTGGAGGGGTAATCAGAGCTCTCACGGCAAAACCACCCTGGGCCGGTGGTACCAGCGCCCTCATTGAGGCAGAGACTTTCAAGTCAGACCCCTCAGTGCCCCCAGACAGGTGCTGTAGACAAGATCCAAGCATGAAATTATGTTTTTAGCATCAATATGTTTGGAGGAATATGTTTGATTCAGTTTGTCTAAGAGTTGAGATGAATTTGCCGACTTGAATCATTCTCTCTCCAAGTCCCTTGAAACCAGTGGTATTTACTAGGCTAGTTGGTTTCTGACAGCTGAAGAACAAAGCTAACAGCTCCAGAGGGGAATGAAACTAAAGACTTTGACCTAATGAACTCTGTTCTCTTAATTGAGTTAAACAGACAATAACAGACTACAGAGATAGTCTGTGCATGCATGCTCAGTCACTCAGTTGTGTCCGACTCTTTGCGACCCCATGGATACAAGTCCACCAGGCTCCTCTGCCTACAGGATTCTCCAGGCAAGAATACTGGAGTAGGTTGCCATGCCCCCCTCCAGGGGATCTTCCCAACTCCAGGGATCTAACCCAAGTCTCCTGCATTGGCAGGTGGATGTCATTCTGTAATATAGAGAACATTTATGAGACAATTGAACCAATTCAGCAAATATTTATTAGGCACATACTGGTAAAAATTCCAGAGTCTGGAATTGCAAAGGTGACTAAGAACACCCTGGCCCCAGGGAGTTCACAGTCTAACGAGGACACACATTGTAAATACACACTTAAAATACAGAGATTACATGCCATAATAGACATATGGCTAAGAATGAAGGCAAAAAAGAGGAGGAAGCGATTAACTCAGTTAGTGTGAGGCTGGGGGGCAGGGAAACTGTCAATACTAATGACCTTTGAAAAGCCAAGACATATTCACCTGGAAGATGAGGCAGCATGAACACCAGGAGGCTCCAGAACTTGGAGGAGGGCGCTGAGCCCAGGGAAATGCAGTCACCTGAAGGTTACAGTGAGTGAGGGCTGTAGGCAAGAGAGGCGCCAGGGCCTGGGACACTAGGCAAGAGATTTGGACTGTGGCCTCAGGAGGAGATGACTTCACAGATTTTTATTTTGGCCATATTATATAAAACTGGAGGAGTCAAGACTTGTGCAGAGAAAATAGGCAAATGCAGTTACAATCTGAGAGAGCAAATGAGGACATAGACGGGAAAAATAGGAACGGGATCCAGAGATAAGATCTGTATCAACGAGATGATGAAGGGAAACATGAAGAGACCATGGAGAGAATCAATAGATTTGGGGATTCATTATGTATGGAAGGGTTTCCCTGATGGCTCAGAGGTAAAGAAGTTACCTGCAATGCAGGATATGCAGGAGATGAAAGTTTGATCCCTGGGTCAGGAAGATTCCCTGGAGGAGGAAATGGCAACCCACTCCAATTTTCTTGCCTGGAAAATTCCACCGTCAGGGGAGCCTGACAGTATACAGTCTAGGGTCCCAAAGAGTAGGACACGACTGAGCACACACATGCGTTATGTATGGAAACCAGAGAGGAGTTGGCGGTAATGGTGAATACAGACCCACCACAATGGACTGGTACATATTTGCACAAAGGGACCCCAGGAGTGGGAAACAAAAGGGAGGTCATTAACTACATGAGATGGGCCCCATGTTCGTGGGGTGGATATCTACCATGAGTGGCTGGATCTTTTAAAGAGACTACCATCCATTATATGTATATGACACGGTTGCACAGCTTAGTCTTTATGCCTAGGCACAAATAGCTTAAATAATAACAATAGCATGGGAGAAGATTAAAATTTTTTTATTATGATACTGGTGAATTGCCAAGCTGTATGGCTCTAGAGGCCTAAATAAACTTTAAGGTAGAGGTTAGCAATTAAGAGATACATATTCATCACTTTTCTGCCTTTTTGGCTAAGATCAAGTGAAGAGATACATATTCAATCCAATGGTCCACAGGCTTACATAAATACCCTCTTGACCTATTCCTTGTCCCAGAAAAAAGACTAAGCAGATAACTGGGTGGTGGGGAGAAAGTTACCTCATTCTTACTCTGTAGAGTTTAGCCAGAAAAAAACACTATATACCAAGGTGAATCTACTGAAATGTTGAGAGGGTCACTCTGAAGACTAGACATAAGTGCAAATGGTATTGTTAATGGATAAATCAATTGCTGCTGGAAGGGATCCACTTATTCAAGGAAGGAAGAGATTCTTTTCTGCAGGTGAACTCTAGGGAGCTACACTGTTGACCTCAAATTCTTCAGGTTAAATTGCTACGAGCCATCGCTTGGGTAAGGGTGGCCCATTCAGGCAGGGGTCTTCTTAGGAAAAAAGAAAGGGCCCTAATATGAGAGTCACACCTCCTTCCACTTGTGGAGTAAACATGCCTAAGTAAACTGATTTTCATACAGAGAATGACCATGAAACAGGAAGGGGGCAGAGTACAACCTTTAAAAGAATAACATAGCCAGAGGACACAGCATAAACTGATTAGAACCAACTAGGTCCAATGGCCGATTCAACTTCTACTTGACCTTGAGCCTCAGTATAAGCTCACTGTAACACACTCCAGGCACCCAATGGTTCTAAAAAGCATGCTTAGTCGCGTCAGTCGTGTCTGACTCTTTCTAACCCTATGGACCACAGCTCACCAGGCTCCTCTGTCCATGGGATACTCCAGGCAAGAGCACTGGAGTGTATTGCCATGCCCTCCTCCAGGGGATCTTCCTGATGCAGGGATTGAGCCCTCATCTCATTATGTCTCCTGCATTGGCAGGCAGGTTCTTTACCCACTGAGCCACCTGGGAATCCTGAAGATTTCAAGGATGACCAGAAAACATCAAAAGTGGGTGGCGGCCCAATTCCTGGAAAGTCCCACTCCTTCCCCCAAAACAATGGCATTATCTTCCTACTCATTAGCCTATGAAATTGTGTTACATGTATGCTCAGTCATGTCTGACTCCTTGCAACTCCACAGACTATACAGTCCATGGAATTTTCCAGGCCAAAAGACTCGAGTGGGTAGCCTTTCCCTTCTCCAGGGGATCTTCCCAACCCAGGGATCGAACCCAGGTCTCCTGCATTGCAGGCAGATTCTTCACCAGTGGAGCCACAAGCTCCACCTGGGAAGCCCACTTAGTCTGTGAAATTACCCACCCCTATAAAAACTGACAACCCCATATCCTGAGGCCTCTCCTTCCTCTCTTTCTGAGATGGCCCACATTCTGTCTATAGAGTATGTTTCCTCCCCGAGCAGACCTTCTTTCTCTTCACTATGGCTCACTCTTGAATTCTTTCCTGTATAAAGTCAAGAACCCACACACATGGAGGCTGTCCCAAGGACTCAGATGTGACCTGGGATGTGACCATCCTTTAGCTCCCCACTCTCTTTTCTTCTTTTCTACAACAACTCACTTCATCCAGATGCTGACTGTTTGGCCAGAAATACTGTCTCAAAGCCCAAGGGATGACACTCTGCAGTATGGAGCTTTCGGGCAGAGCTAATCAGTGTGGGGGCCACAGCAGGTTCTCCTGGTAGGAGCTCGGGAGACGTCCATGAGAGAAAAAATGAGACCCAGAGACAAGAGACAGGAAGAGATCCACATTAGTAAATGTGATGCTGCAAATGGAAATGTCATGCTAAATTCTAAGATTATCCTCAAATAAACAGCAGACCATTTAATCCAATCTAAATTAAAACTGAAAACACAGTTGAAGCAGATACAAATGAGTTCATGTTTTTAAAGGTTTCAAAGGAAAGGCAAACTGAAGTCAGCTATAAATTTAATTCATTTTACATCCCTGTAGTTCTAGGATTACTAAAAGAAAATGGAAATCTATATTACATAATGATAAGAGAGTTTATCAGAAAAAAATCAGCTATTCACACGGGAACTGCTTTTTCTATACAACTAAAATATTTAGCTGAGAAATAGCATGTGTGTGTAGGTGCAGGAAGCGAGCACTTAGGGGAGGACAACAGAGCTGCCTGTTTCTTTTATATACACTCTTGTATTCAAGCTCATTAACTTGATTTCTATGATCAAGCCTCTCATCTTCTAAAGCCACTACTACCTGCTGGAAAGAAGAAAAAATAACATCTTCAAACAAGCGACTTAGGGGAAATAGTAATTAATATGAATACAGTGCTTCTATATAAAGGGCTATTTTGTAATCATTGTTCTAAAAGCTTTATATATATTAAGCCATGAATTAAAAGAGAATCTCTCTCTCTCCCTTCACATGCTTGCAGGCAGGTTCTTTACCACTAGCGCCACCTGGGTCTGTAAAGTAACAAAGACTAAGGTCACATTCTGACATCTCTCCAATGATTCCAAAGTCTGTAAGATCAGCAATTATTTAACATCTGTGTTTTAGTCCCCTCAGCTGTAAAACAGGGGTGAAAATAATAGTAGCCACCTTGTAAGACTATCATTAAAGATAATCCATTCAAAGCACCCAGCATAAGACCTTACCAGTAATGGGCTCTTACTCATTATTGGATAGCAAGAAGATCAAAACATCAATCCTAAAGGAAATCAACCCTGAATATTCACTGGAAGGATTGATGCTGAAGCTGAAGCTCCAGTACTTTGACCACCTGATGCAAAGAGCCTACTTATTGGAAAAGACCCTGATGATGGGAAAGACTGAGGGCAACAGGAGAAGGGGCAATGGAAGATGAGATGGCTGGATAGATGGCATCACCAACTCAATGGACATGAGTTTAAACAAATTCCGGAGATACTGAAGGACAGGGAAGCCTGGTGGGCTGCAGTTCTTGGGGTTTCAAAGACTGGGACACAACTTAGTGTCTGAACAACAACCACAATAACTCATTAATACCATAAATACCATAGCTACCACTCTCACTGTGATCCTCTCCAATAAAACATTGGTAAACTCCTGGTTAAAGATTTGGAAGTG